CCGAGTCGAGACCGAGACCAAAGAGAGTCGAGTCCGAGTCGAGACAAAGAGACTCGAGACCGAGACCAAATAGAGTCGAGTCCGAATCTAGGCTGAGACCAAAGAGAGTCAAAACCGAGACCAAAGAGAGCCGAGTCCGAGTCGAGACTGAGACCGCGACCAAAGAGAGTCGAGTCCGAGTCTAGACCAAGACCAAAGAGAGTCGAGACAAAGACCAAAGAGAGTCGAGTCTGAGTCTAGACCGAGACCAAAGAGAGTCGAGACTGAGACCAAAGAGAGTGGAGTCTGAATCGAGACAGAGTCCAACGAGAGTCGAGTCCGAGTCTAGACTGAGACCAAAGAGAGTCGAGTCTGAGTCGAGACCAGAGAGGTTGGATAACCTAAGGTTGGGTCTGAAACCAGACTTAAAGATATCTTCAAGAATATGTAAAATATTTGGTGGTAACAATAAAATTAACACCATACTCAAACAGTAAACCAAATATACAATGGAGTCATGTACACTGTAATGGTAAAAAGGCCACATAAGCTTTATTACAAAATGACATGTCCTAAACGGACAAATTTAAAGCGCCCACGCGTAGCGGCATGTAGCCTTCTTCAAGGCACATTTTTTTTTCTCTCAATGGGCTGCATTTAGGCTCTTGCTGTGTGGTAGGAGCAGCGTCATTCCTCTCAGAACGTTAGTCTAACTGAAGAGAGAATTTAAATTCTGCAATTGTATCTTGCAAGAGACTTCAGGCAAATATCAATTATTCAGGCTTTGGCATCTAATGCAAGAAATATCAGGAAGTGCTTTAATAAGAGACATGGTTAGTGCTCACAGTTTGTCATCTGAAGCAATACAGTCACCCACTTGCTGTGAAATGACGCAGATTAGATTTAAAAGTGATATTTTAGTCTGTTCACTCATTTCACAAAAGTTTCATTATTTTAGTTGTTATTTTCTAGGGCTGTCAGTTAAACGCATTATTAACGGCGTTAACGCAAAACCATTTTAACGGCATACATTTTTTTTTCATCGCATGATTAACAGTCTTTTTGGCCTAGCAAACTTTTCTTTCACATGCTTTTGCAACAGGAAGCGGCATGTGCGCGCTGCTCTATGAAACCCATTCATTTCAATGGCTTGCGCCGCGCAAGGACGTTTCGTTGCTTCGTCGACCAAAGCGCAAGCGGATCTAGCTAGACTGGAAACAAAACAACAGGCATGCTGCAAACACACTCGTTTGGGCTTGTGAGCCGGCCAAATAGTTGGTTAACTTTACGTTTTGAGTGGATGACGAGCGCGAGACGCCGAAATGGATGCCAATAAGATTCTGAATGGAAGGTTTACTTTGAAAAAGTTGCCAAATGGTTCCATCGACAAGACCAAAGTGATCTGTGTGTTTTGATGTTGTGAACTGAGCTATCATCATCGCAGCTCGTCCAGTCTGAAATACCACTTGATGATGGCCAAGCACACATACACAGCTAATGCGAATTCCCCACCCCCTCGTCAATATCAGGACCTCGTCAGTATTTATTTCACCCATTGATGGACAGTGTTACATTGTGTGAGAGATTATTTGCTCAAAGTAAGAATTTTAGTGTGAATTTGAACACAGTATATGCCAATGTTGTTTTCAATAAAAAACATTTGCACAAAGCAAGCCGATCCACTTTTCCATGTTGATAAGAACATTAAAATGAGAAAAAAATAATGGGACAAAAAGAAATCAAGAGAAATTTTGAATAGATAAAAATGTATGATTAATCGCGATTAATCGCGATTAAATATTTGAATCGTTTGACAGCACTATTATTTACGCTTTCTAGCAATATGGTTCCACTGTAAGGAGAGCATTGTTAACATCAACCAATATAATAAACCTAAATCTAATTTTTGTGTTTCACAGAAGAAATAAAATCAATCTGAAATGAGTTGAGGCATCTACATGTTTGCTAGTATCGTATCAAAAGGCTTAAAGGCATGTAAAAGCTAACTGGAGTTCTTTGAAATGTTCTGCGTCCTTGTGAAGTGTCATCATACTTTTCAAATTCAATGCGTTCGGGTCCACAAACCGAGGTAGGATGCATCGAGAATAAACAGATGAAGCCATTCTTCCACACCTTTCAAAACATACAAACACTATAATTCATTCCAAACAAGAAAAGATTACCATGGTGCACTGCTGCGACTGGCATAAAGCCGAAAGTGAAATATAGAGCAAGGATAAATGGGGTGTGTTAAATAGACCATGTTTCCATCAATCGGCCAAAGTGAACCGCATGTGCCATCTCCCAGAATTCTGTTCAGTTCTCTTATCAGGAACAGGCCTCTTATCTCAGAGCTCCATAACAGCAAACACACTCACACAAGAACAAGCACACACACACACACTGTTCTAACACCTCGGCCGATGCTGAGTTATCTTCATCAGTTTGTAGCTAGGTGACATTTGGTTGCTTTTTTTGTCAATCAGAGATATACACGTTATCTCATTGGCAGTATGAAAGCAAAGGCAAAAAGCGATGCGTCAGGTTTTATTGGTAAAAGTCTAAGTTGCAAATGTTCCAATTTGCAAATGTTCCAAAAAAAAAAAAAATAAAAATGTTCCAATGTTTAAATGTTTCTTGTCCACACAAGCCTGATTATCCACCTAAAACAAGACGATTTTTAAAGGTCAAAAAGGAGCCCATATGGCTGCACCCAAGGAGCTCTAATAAACCTGGAGAAAGCGCTAGGATTTCCATTAATCTCAAATGGCAGTTGAAAGGCTATCATTTCTGAAAGCAAGAGAGCTGGATGCTCCCTGAATCCTTTATTGAAGCAATTACTGTAATATAATGGATTTCTTGTATCCATAAAAGCTATATTTGATAATGACAATCAAAGCAGAAATATAATTTTTGCCAATTTAACATGATATTGGGTCAAAACAAACCAGTCAAACACTGACCCATGAGTGCATCATTGTCAAAATGTTAAAGAAGGGGTCTCTCAAATCTTCAAGTTCTGTTGAACTCATCTTTCATTGAGAAAGAGAGCTCTGACATTCAGTGCATCCCGACCCCATAATGAGTTGATGTTGTTTCCATTTGATGCGCTGACCTGCGGTCACGTCTTCCTCTTGTGACTGTAGCTGGTGCTCTAATCTGTTATTAGTCTGGTTGTAAAAACAGCTTTACTATAATGCCTCATTTTCAATTTCACTAATTTTGTCCTGATTAAAACTTTCTTCATTAATGTACGTAGCAAAATTAGACAAAGTTTTATGTCCCGGGGGAACCTATAAAATCCCATTCTTAATTAGGTAGTATCAGTAAAGACATCATTGCAAGGTGGCTTCAATTACTTATTTAACATTAATAACATGAGACTGGATGCAGATTTGTTGATAGGCTAAATTTATTTGATCTTCGGGTCGAGTGAAAGTGAAAAACTCATCAACCAAAAATTTAATTGAGGCATCAGCAGTTTTCATTTTATTGACTGACTTCACTTCAGATCCAACATCTGATTAATTCGTTTTTATTCTCCAAGGATGCTAATAAGGGTCATTGTTGCTTTGTAGACACAATATTTTTAAAGCATCGAATTTATAATTTGATAAAATGTAAATAAATAAATATTTAAAATGGAAAAATTTGTGTGAGTTCAATAATGTAAGTTAAATACATAATAATATGGTCAGATACACGTTCCTTGCATTCTAATGCTTCCTGCTCATTTCTATATCACTTCAGGATAGCAATATCTTCAGGATAAAAATGTACCTTGTAATATTCCACAATTTACATCAAAGGGCTGTACTGGCACCTAGTGGACAGTTTGTTTAATACGATCATTATTTTGTGTTTTACAATTCAGCAACATTTTTCTCAGAAGAGTGTATAAAGGTATTGCAAAAGGCATTGCATTTCTTTGTTTCTTTTTTTTTTTTAATATATGAAGAGTTCAGATGCAAAAGCCTCTAAGTGCCATTTAAAATTTTCTTCTAAAATGATCATTTTTTATCAAGCTTGTATATTTAAGTTCAGTGATTTCACTAAAATTGCAATGATAATTACCTATTAATTGTTATTTAAGAGAAATTACTGAACTTAAATATACAAGTTTGATAAAAATCATCATTAAAGAAGAAAATTTCAAATGGCATTTAGAGGCTTTTGCATCTGAACTCTTCATATTTCCTATTTATGGAACAACATATTTCCTTACGAAAACGAAGTATATTTCAAGTTCATTTTATGTAGTATACTTAAGTAATGTTCAAGTATATTTTTAAGTATACATTATGCAGTAAGTAATGCCACTGTGTACTAGTAGTAAACTTGTAAGTGTACTATTTTAATATCGCTTGGGACTAAATTGGCCCACTTTTAGTACATAAAAGTATATGTTTAAGTGTACTATAAGTGTAACAGTAAGTGCACAACTAGTTCATAATTATGTATCTCATGTGTACTGCAAGTAAATTTATGGGTATACTAGTAGTTTACTTTTTTACTGTAATACTTATACAAGTATACTTTGAATACTTAATTATACTTTTAACTATTTCTGGATCAAAAGATTGAGTACAAGAACAGGACAAATATACTTGCTTCTCTCTCTGTATAAGTCAAGTACAATTAAGTGTAATTTGAAGTATATTTCTGAGAAGTACATATAGTATACTTCTGAGAATTACAGGAAAAATAGACTAAAATTTTTAGTTTAAAAGAAGTATACTAATGGCACATTTGAATAAACTTCTTTTTTGTAAGGGTTAGCCTTCTGTTATCAATTCACTCATATTTAATCACCAATCCAAAACTCAATTGTTAAAAAAACTATTGATCGTAAGCTATTGATCGTCCTTTTCAATCAGTCAGCACAATATACAAATGACAGTGTTTGTGTGTGATGTAATGCACCCATGTTTCTCAAATGTCTATTTATAACAGCTGAATGCAGGAGAGGTATTTACAAGTGAACACACACTGCAAACACACACAGAGAGAGCAGCGGGCAGCCAGTGTGGCACCTGGAGAGCGACCGGGGGGTTAGGTGCCTAGCTCAAGGGCACCTCAGTCATTTCCTGCCGGTATTGAGAATCGAACCCGCAAGCTTCGGGTCATCAGACTCTGTAACCATTTGGCCACGACATTAAACACACACGCACATTGTGCTCGCTTCAACAAGGGGAGCCCGGGGTAAGTGAGGCTGACCTGTATTTATGCTTGACACCCTTAACAATGACAAAGGCGTCTAGGAGTGTGTTACTGCTCTCTCCCAGGGAATAACAATTGTGTACATGTATTGTCGTAACAATGGGTAAACCTGTTTACTGTTTTAAATTCAAAGTCTGATGCAGTGCATGAAGGTGCATGGCTGTAAACAGTTTTCTTAGGCATTGTGCTATTTTTTTATGGTCAAAAAGCTCAAATGTTTAGGTTTGGCTCACTCTTGAAAGCATTGTCTGATATGTAAATGTTTGGTGTAGTCTAAGAATTGTTTTTTCATGTGGTCTAATGTTTTGTCTAGTCTTGAAAAGCAAGTCAATAATAGTCTAGACAGTAGCAACAGCGGAACATTTCAGAGACTTGTTGACTCTCAGCGTCTATTCCCTTGTCTCATTTCAGAGTCTTAAACACAAGAATGGTAAGCTTCAAGCTTTCAAACAAGCTAATGTTACGTATTAAACAATACAAGTACAATAATGTGGTTATATTGTTGGGCTCAAATACATGTTTTGGATTGTCACCTTCAGGGCAAGAATAGGACCACCAACTCAGGTCTTCACGCACACTGTGAAAAATGTCATAACCAGGACTGCAAGATTCCCATAGACATCTCAACGTCCTGTGTCTTCATTTTCTGCCAGCTGAACTGCGGTGCAGCCTTCCATCTTTGTAAAGAGGACGAGCATCGTCTTTTGTGCCCTAAGGAAACTGTACCATGCCTCAACTCTGGCTATGGCTGTCCCATTACCATGACTCGCCAAAAAATTGCCCCTCACCTAGAAGTGTGTCCTGCCAGTGTGATCACTTGTACCTTCGAATGGAACCGATGGCCTGTGAACGAGACCGATACCACCTTCTACAGAAATGCCATCCAGGATCCAAACTGCATGAGCCAGTTAGACCTTGCTATGGCCCTTAGAGATCAGAAGCTTCTGTTTAGCTCAATTCAGATGAAGACACTCTTCCCTGAGTTGGTAGAGAAGATGGAGGAGCCTGAAGTTCCACTGGATGGTGCTGTTGGAGGTGTTGATCCAGAGTCTCCGAACTTACCCCCGGAAGAAATGTTGGAGAATAGTCTTAATGGGGAAGAAGGACAAGGACTAACCCAAGAGGAGAGGCTGGCCCTTGCTAAGAGTAAAGATGTGACCTGCTTGGAGAACTACGAGATGTGGGAGAGAATGTTTGCGAAGGAGAAGGAAGGATGCAAGCAAACCGTGAAGAATTTAGATGATAAAAGTTGTCCGATTAAGGATAAGGAAGACCCCAAAGTGACCCCTCAGAATTCCAACGATGACATTTCCGGAACAGGTTTAGCTCCTTGGCAAGATGGCGTTCTTGACAGACTCGGTAAACTCAACGTGGCCGAGTATAATATGTATCTGGTGCACAACGGAAGCATGCTTATCAACTTTGGTCAGCTGGCTGCTTGCACACCTAGAGAGAAAGATTTTGTTTATGGTAATTTGGAGCCCATTGAAGTTCAAACCATACACTCTTTCAACTTTCCAACCAGCTACAGACCCAAGCGTAGCCACCTCAAGGATCCATCAAAAATAGTTAAGAAGACACACCAGAATGTGGACACATCTGATTTAGGTATTGCTATTGAAAAGCTCCCAAAGGCGAATGAGATAGAGGCGACACTGCTGTGTGCACTAGAAAGAGAACTGAAAGGTCATCAGATATGTGAGTCTGTTGGAATCGACGGGCTATATGTTGACTGTGGCACCCAGACCTATGACTTTCACTCTGCTCCATTCAAAAGTGATGCATCTTTGGCCAATGTTGTTGAGGACCAGCCGCAAAACCTACATGTGCAGATTCAGACAGAATGTGTGACTAGGAGACACAACAAATCCTGCTCCGCCTTTAGTTACCTGTGCTGTAATGCTTTTAGGCGTGACGAATACCCCTGGCACTTTAGAAACGTGCATGGAGACATTCAGTCATGTCTTACAGGCTGGTTTTTACAGCGGTGCCCACTGGCTTACCTTGGTTGCACCTTCAGCCAGAAGCAATTTCGGCCATCTAAATATAAGGCTACAGTGAGCTATGATACAGATCTTAGCACTTTCATCTTACGACCAGAGGTGGTACCGTCACTTAACAAAGGAGTAAGAATCGCTGACAGTGAACGCAAACGAGCAAGGAATTTGGATTCTCTGAGCAGACTTCCTTTTGAGGTTTTACAACACATTGTGAGTTACCTGGACAGTGTGTCTTTGGGTCGTCTATCTCAAGTTTCCAAGTTAATGAGGGAGGTGTGCAGCACTGTTCTTCAGCAAAAGGGTATGGTGTACCTTAAATGGGAGAAAAAGACATACTCTCATGGTGGATTCACCTGGAGGGCCCGGAAAAAGGTAAACGCCTGGCTCTTGTCATCAGCCAGTACCCTTCAACTAATTCCTACAAGATTCAAAAGCATAAAAACTAGGAACCGGATCTCACGGGAATTCGTACGAATTTTACGAGGTGGCTAATTCGTAACAATTCGTACGACCTCACTCGTTCGAATTAGTAAGATTTTGTTAAATCGTACATATTTTACGAATTAGCCACTTCATATGAATTCGTACGAATGACCTACCCCTGACCCCGCCCCTAAACATAACCGTCACATGGGTTTAGACAAATCGTACAAATTCGTACGAGTGAGGTCGTATGAATTAGTACGAATTAGCCACTTTTGAATCACTCGTACAAATTCGTACGAATTGGCTGTGAGATGGGGTAGGTTTAACGCGTTATTAACGGCGTTAACGCAAAACCATTTTAATTTTTTATCGCGTGATTAACGGTCTTTTTGTCCTAGCAAACTTTGTCGTTTTTTCACATGCTTTTGCAACAGGACGGCGTCTTTCGGCGTCTCGCGCTCGTCATCCACTCAAAGCCGGCTCGCAAGCCGAAACGTGTGCTTGCGGCGTGCCTGTTGTTTTGTTTACGGTCTAGCTAGATCCGCTTGTGCTTTGGTCGAAGAAGCAACAAAACGTCCTCGCGCAGCGCAAGCCATTGAAATGAATGGGTTTTTGAAATGCAAGGATGTTTTGTTCCGCACACACTCGTTTCGGCTTGCGAGGTAACGTTTTGAGTGGATGATGAGCGCGAGATGCTGAAATGGATGCCCTAAGATACTGAATGGAAAGTTGACTTTTAAAAAGTTGCCAAATTGTCCCATTAACAAGACCAAGTGATCTGTGTGTTTTGTCGTTGTGAACTGAGCTATCATCATCGCAGCACGTCCGAAACACCACTTGATGATGGCCAAGCAAACACACACACACACACACACACACACAGATGGAGCGAATTCTCCACCCCCTCGCCAATATCAGGACCTCGTCAGTATTTATTTCACCCATTGATGGACAGTGTTACATTGTGTGAGAGATTATTTGTATATGTTAGTGTGAAATTGAACGCTATTCCAATGTTATTTTCAATAATAATAATTTAAAAAAAACATTTGCACTAAACAAGCCAATCCACTTCCCCATGTTGATAAGAGCATTAAAATGAGAAAAAATAATGTAACAAAAAGAAATCAAAAGACATTTAGAATAGCTAAAAATGTGCGATTAATCGCGAGTTAACTATGACATTAATGCGATTAATCACGATTAAATATTTTAATCGCTTGACAGCACTAATAAAAACATAAATATAGGTCAGTAAATATTCTCTGAATAATTTTCCAAAACCTGTATATTATTTTTCCTGAACACAAAATAATCTTTAAGCTACTTTACACCATAAACCGAGCAAACAAAGAACGTTCCCCAAACAGTGAATGGTTCCCCTTTGGTTATTTATTTGGGAATAAGTTCCAAACTTTCTAGGAACGTTCATTTTTAATTTTATTGTATAACCTCAAACTAAAGCCTTGCTGGTATTGTGTGTGTGTGTGTGTGTGTGTGTGTGTGTGTGTGTGTGTGTGTGTGTGTGTGTGTGTGTGTGTGTGTGTGTGTGTGTGTGTGTGTGTGTATGCAATCACCTAATAAGAACAAATACACAACATTCCCTAATGGATATATTAAGGTTTTATTTATGTTTCATGCACTGTATTCCACTATAGCTTATGTGAGGAAGTCATATTATTATCAATATTGTTTAATTTTGTATTATTCATTTAATTATTCATAAAAAAAGATTCCAATAAGTCTCGAAACCATGTGCACAGTCACAATCCAATATCTAATTTTATTCCAGGAACATTAGCAGTGTTGCAGGGCACGATAAACACTCTAAGTACATTGGTGCTCCGTTATCTATTCTCTGAAGTATGTGGGTCAGAGAGGGCGTACATGGGTCATTTGACTCTCTCTGGCTCCATGTCAGTCAGCTATACACTGGTAAAGGTTTACTTTTGGATGACAGGTGGTAACTCTCTCTCTCTCTCTCTCAGCTCATTGTTTTGGAAGCAATTGATTTTAGCGTTTAACCAGTAGGGGCTGTAACCTGCACTGTTGGAAGCCAATGAGAATAGAAATCTGGAATACTGATCACCATATTGATATATTCACAAAGGGCTCTGGACAGAAGTATCAATATATTTAGCCCTTATAATTTTGCTGAGAAACAACATTACAAAAAGTGACATCCACTTAATTTCGCACAGTACTGTTCAATTTAATTCAATTCAAAATAATTTGCATAGCACTTTTCACAATACATATAGTTTCAAAGCAGCTTTACAGAACGTGCATTTCAGAAATGTACATCAAAAAAATAGAGTTAGTTAATCATGTATTAATTTAAGGCATAACATATTGCCAGCGTTGAGTCATCTCTTCACAGCCGTCGAGTTTTTACTATAGTTTTATCATCTTCTTTTGTCTCTCTGTGTGTGTGTGGAATGCTTTGCTTGAAAAGTATTTTTTTTTAAATGCCATTTGGTTTGATTTTCTTTTTTTTATGCAATGACATAAGTGATGCTTAAGTGTTCAAATATTTTAGGACCATACTGTGGTTTTCAGTCATTGCAAAGCCTTAATGAAATTGCACTGATTTATATGGGACCCTTCTCATCTCCATGTAGGTATGGGAGTTTAGCACTCTGCACTCGCCAGTGGATAAATGGGTCTTTGAAGACATGCCGCCTATGGCAGAGCACCTGAAGGTCTGTCCTTTCTATCAGAAGGAGATTCGAAGTGAACCTGTCCCATTACCCAGCATGACAGATCTCCAGGAGAGAAGAGGAGAATTCCAGACTCTAGTCAATAGTGTCCTCACTACTGTCAAGTCACACAGAGAATAAGAGACGGCTGTGTGGCGCAAGCTGTGGACTTATAATTTAAAAGCATGCTGCATGCACTGACCTCATCAAATATTTCTAGATAAAATTGTTATAGTCAATTGTTAAAGTCAAAGGGACAGTTCACTCAAATAAATAAATAAATAAATAAATAAATAATTCTGATCACTGATTATCATTCTGTCATCATTTACTCTCACACTCATGTCAGATATGATATTTTGAGAAGTTATCTATACAATGAAAGGGTTTGGTTACCAAAAATTCTTCAAAATAACTGATTTTGTGTTCCACATAAGAAACAAGGTCAGAAATCTGGAACAACATGAGGTTGAGTATATGCTGCAGATTTTTTTTAATTTATTTATTTACTTATTTTTCAGTGGACTATCCAGACAGATCTTTGCTGACCTCTACTGGCTAAGAAAATGCACGGTCATAAAGGCTTAAAAATAACCATAAATGCATTTACAGTGGGATGGTGAACGTGTGTATAAAATCAGATGTTAACATTTTACAAAGGTCTCATTTGTTAATATATTAACTAGCATGAACTGCTATGAGCAATATACGTTTTACAGCATTTATTAATCCTTCCTAATGTTGGTTAATCAAAATGCAATTACTGTTTGTTCAAGTTAGTTCACAGTGCATTATCTAACATGAACAAATACAACTTTTGATTTAACAAATGCCGTAAAAATACTGTTTATTACTAGTTCATGTGAACTAACCTACTGTAGTTGACTAAGGTTATCAAATGTGTTATTGTGTGTTACCAATCTGATCACCTTCTTCAGCATGATTGATTTAACACATTTACTTATTTGATTAGCAATTAGTGATCTTAAATATTTCTTAATTTAATGTTATAGTTGTTTTGATTTTTTTAGATAAGTTTATTTTAGGGCTGTGGCTGTGCAAAAATTAATTGCGATTAATCGCATCCAAAATAAAAGTCTGTGTTTACATAATATATAATTGTTTTGTATATATAAATACACACGTGCATGTATATATTTAATAAAATGTGTTATTCATATATAAAATATTTATATTTATATAATATAGATTATGTATGTATATATATATATATATATATATATATATATATATACATAATTTAAGCGCAAATAATTCTAAAATATATACATGCATGCATAGGTATTTATATATACAAAATAATTATATACAGCACACACACAATATATTATGTAAACAAAGACTTTTATTTTGGATGCGATTAATCGCAATTAATTTTTGCACAGCCCTAGTTTATTTTCATTATAAAGACATAAATTCCCATCATAAAGTTCATTGCAACACAATTATGACAGCACTGCAGGAAGGAAGAGAAAAGTCCTGAAAGATATTTATTATAGTCAAATATATTTTAAACACATATATTTTTATTTTTTTGCATCCCCCACATCCCCCAAAGTGACCAGTCACCTGAAAAAGCTTTGACTTTATTCACTTATGAAAACCAGTTAAAATATAATAAAAAGTCAATAACAAATGCTTTTGTTTTAATACAATGAATATACATTATTTATGAGTATTTTGCTCATACTCTATTGCGTCTCTGACACTTCTGGGTTGCGTAGTTTATTGATGACCTCTGACAGCATGCGGTTACATAGGGCAGCGTAGGGGTTCAGAATCACAGCCTGTTGCTTGGCAAACTCACTGCCTAGAGTCGCTGCTCTCTCAAAGTCCACCCGAGCCTCCTCATCACGACCCGACAACCTGAGAAGAAGCCCGTGCTGGACCAGAGCCTGGCAGGCCGATCGCCCAACACCGTTGCTGAGAGTGATGGCACGCTCCAGATCTTCAACTGCACCTGAGATAGATTATAGATCATCGGTTAAGTGAGATAACCCAAAAATTAGCTTCACATTTGCCTTGGAACTGTATATGAAACCAAAAATGATCCCAGGTTTCATATGGCGATTTTCCACTGCATGTTACGGCAGTTCGTTTCGTCTCGGTACGGCTGACTTGTGGTGCTTTTCCACTGCATGGTACGGTACGGTACAGCTCGCTTCAGTTCGCTTTAAATGGTACCACCACTGTTGAGGTTACAAGCGTACCGTACCGATACTAAAATGTGACGTTAACACACTGCAGATTACTGATTAGTCAGACAGAATCGTCACTACCAGCGTCATTGTAGTTGCGAGACATCAAACCCGCTAGATTTAAATAGCCAGTAACAGCCATCGCTGTTGCGCCTGTTTTAAAACTACTTGCTTGAAGAAAAAAGAAAGAAAGAAAACTTCCAAAAAATGAATAGCTGAATCATGGTGAGTGGACGAAGTGCAGATGTTCCTCTCGTTGTTTGCCGAGGAGCGGAGTTTATGTCATGGAAATCTGACTTTTTCCCTCCAAATTGTGAGATAAAAACAGAATTGCAAGATGGTAGAGACACTAAAAGGTCAAAAATAAAGGTTTCAAATCATGCACTATACTCTGAATTGTGTTCCAGGTATGTCATTTTGACATGCTGTGAGCCCCCTAGTGGAGCTGAAGGTTAACAGGTTAACATTATCAAAGTATTGTGCATGGAACTGCATGATAATTAGTCTTAATTCATTGATAATCTGCCCATGGCTAATCATGATTTGTGTGAATATGATTAAAAGTTGTTGTTTTACTTCTAGTGAACTTAGAATGTATTTCCATGATGGTCTCTAAATGAAAATGCAAAAAATTAAAGTTTAAAGGGTAACTAAACCCCTGGTCAGAGCCTGACTCCACCCACTGGCAATATTTGAAAATGCTGAAAAAGTGGGCAGACCCCAGCGGAGATAGAGGGGACGAAATAGATGCTAAAACACTCTATCCTGATCGTTTTCAATACTCGCAATTCCAATTCCTGACTCCCTACTGTGGTTTTGACGACACAAGATGGTTTTTATATTGCCAAGGGCGTAGCTCGCGTGGTGAGCTGAAACCTGCGTACGTCACGAAGAACCGCTAAAATCCAATAGGAAAATTCAACGTGATCTCATGAGAATACGTATGTATTTATACGTAAAGTGTCGTTCTATCATACGTATATATAATTACGTTTTATATGCGCAGAAACGTATAATACTGACGTATTTACAGTACTAAAACGTAAAATATTTACGTATTGACAGCACAAAAACGTAATTTATTTACGTATGAACAAATCCACCGACGTACACATTGTACGTATCACAATTTATGCATATTAATATCGTAGCAGCATTATGTTTTGACTCTGTTGCATTCCACTGTCTTATTAATGAAGTTTTCAGTCGCATTTATTGATATAATACTCATAAATATGAACAGTTTGCTCGTTTCGCCTACATGTTGTTAAACAATACACTATAAAACCTTAAAAATACAGTCTTTAACGTTAGCTACTCGTTCAACCATTTTGTAATAGTTTATTTACCTTGAGACACATAAAGCGTTTTCTCCTATAAAACACAACAAAAAATCACAAAAGACATCAATTTGATTAGTTTGATCATCCAAATCTTTAGAATCCATAGTTGTTTGTAAGAAACAACTCCTAATTCAGCCTCTTATCCAGTCGTGATCTCTCCATTCTCAGCAGCGACCGTACATGTCAAACCCCGCGCTGATGAATTCAAATTCAAAAATTGCGCCCGTGAGAAGCGATACGTCATGTTTTACGGCAGTGATATCAAACGTTCATTGGCTCTTCCCTGCTTCGTCACAGTTTGCGACATGAAGGACTGTGCCGGTTGGTTAGTTTAGTTCATTTGAATTTTGAAATGGAGAAGCGCGAACCGAAGCCGGATTAACATTTTCATTAAATATTTAATTTCTGCTCTGTACTTCATACAAAACTATTACAATACTGCCAGAGACAGAGAGAAGACTGCGACTGCAACGCTTCATCATGTGAACGGCTTTTGGTATCGGTTTTGATATTTTTGCAATAAATAAATTATTGTGATTATACTTGTCTGTTAGTTATGTTTTTCTTAATAATTGTAGTTTTTTACGTAGTTTTAAGGAATTGTTATGGGTAACGTTAGGTTTAGGGGTAGGATTGGTGGCTCAAAATATATTTTAATGTTATATTGTTATTAAAACTACCCTTTCCCAACACCTGTCTGTTACGTTTTATCCTTTTTTATATTAAGTATAAAATGGGTATGTTTAGGTTTGGGATTAGGGTTACGGGATCTTACATTTATGTATAAAATGGTAAAAAGGGAAATTATACAGATATCTTTATGATATAGAATATACGTAAATAGTTTACGTTTTGTAGCTGTAAAAACGTAATAATGTTACGTTTAAATGTTGCAGATACGTCTATATTATACGTTTCAGCACCTATCCAAACGTACTAAAAAGTACGTTTTTTATCTTTGCAAAAACGTAAAATACCTACGTATTAACAATGAGACCAGGCTGGAAAATTAAACTGCAGTAGCCACCGTTCAACCTGAAGAGGGCAGCACTAAGACGCTTTTACACCATATATTGTAGAAATAGAACACTTTATAAACAAATGTCAAAAAAGTTACTCGAATCAATGACTGGTTTTAATAAAGATCCATTCTTACAGATCATTAACTAAAAAAAGTCGGCTAAGTGTTTAGTTACTCTTTAAAGAAATTATAGCCAATTCTGGGTGAGAAGGAAGAGACGTATCACCTTTCGTGTCTCCCTGCAGGCGTTTGGTCTGGGCTCTGTTGTTGTAGGCTGAAGCCCTTTGAGGAAGGATTCTGATGGCCTGGTTAAAATGCTGAAGAGACGCAGGCAGGTCTCCAGACTCTGCAGCTGAAACTCCCTGCAGTTCCAGATCTTTCACCTGCTTCACTAGCTCTGGCTCAAAAGCACTGTCTAGAGATAGACAGAAATAGAAAAAAAAATGCCTAGAAGTGTTCGCATTCAACCATCTTTGTAGCATTTGAAACTTTCAAGATACGAAAGAAGTAAGAATAGATCTATCTATCTATCGAACGATCGATCTATCGATCTATTGATCTATCTATCTATCTATTTACTTCTTTAGAAATGTAACATTAAATGAGACAGTTGTTTATCATCATTAGTTACACAAACCATGAATGTGTTATCTGATTATGGATTGTATTCTTACCATCATCTATCAGATCATCTTCTTGATTTAATCCAGGAATATCTCCAAAAGGG